AGGGAAGGCTGGAGGCGCTGGTTCGGGTAAGGGTTCCTGTTTTCACCTCTTAGTCGCTTAACTGCCATCTTTGCCTTATCGCGGTGACGGCTTTCAGGGACCACAGAAAGAGGTGATAAAGAAACCAGGGGCACAAGCTGGCCGAGATGCTGTGGGGAACACCCTCAGAACCCAAGGGAAGCTTCAGACCACTGTGGAGGTCTCCCACAGGGCTTTACAAAACGATGAGAGTCGAGACATGCTTGGTCCTCTGCGTCTCTTAGTCAGTGCTGCACATGAGCTCTGCTGCTCTAGAACGTAACTAAAGACATTCCACATAGCTTTTGGTTTTAGTTTTTCTAAAGCTGGATGGGAAGAGTGGTGATGATGCTGGATGGCTCCCAGGTGGCTTGCTTACTGATTTGAAGGGAAGCAGGTCACCACAGCAGCAGGTTGTGGAGCTGACGTGTGTCTTTGCTTTATGTGGTGATCACATGCAGTCAGGGCTTCTGTAGTTTTGAATATCTGAGCTAGCCAACAAAATATCCATCTCAGGCTTGTAACAAAACTTTACCGTGACAGCTGTTGAAACTCCCATTTCACAGAGCCAGACTTAATTCCTTTCTCTGCATAGATAAAGTGAAATATAGCTCTGTGTGATAAAAGTGAAGTAACATTCCCTGAATGTACCATGATAAAACTAGTGTTAGAAAGTCAATTTTTCACTGGAACTTATAAATTAAAAAAACAGATCTCACCAGTTTATTAAGACAGTCACTGACAGTTTGTAAAAAAAATTTCTAACATACATAAAAGCTTCAGGCCAGAAATAGTAAGGAGTTGAAACAGCATCTTTCCCCCCTTCCCCCCCCCCTACAGACACTGTGATGCAAACTTCAGTTTGCTTGATTTAAATTGGCTTAATCTTGAAGTGTAGTCCAATAAGACTGAAGACTAGACACTTAAGGTCCTGGACCAGGTAGTAGAATACTCTCAAGCCTTCTGGATCCCTGCAGTGCACAACAGAAAGCAGAAGGAAAAAAAAAAAAAGTTAGGCTGACATTCTAAGAGATCAGTTTATAGAACTGATTAAGAAAAAACCAAAATAACAAGTCTATAGGGAGACTTCTCAGAACTCATCTTGGACATTAACAGACTTGCTTCATTCAGACTTGCTTGATAAAACATTCTGTACTCCTAAGTTTGCATGTTTCAAGACCACTTTTATCATTAAAACAAGTTGTAGCATCACTATGGATTTACCAAACATGGCAGGCAGTCTTTTCAGCTTAGGTGGGATACAGAAGTCGTGGTTCCCCCAGAGACACTGGTGTGGACAGGCCGTGATGGCTCAGTCCAGACTGTGAATACACCTAGCAGGGGTTCCTACAGTAAGGTCACCTGCTCAGCCAGTCTGAAAACATCACACAGCCTCCAAGCTTTTGCTGCATTACACTGGAACACTGAGAACCTGTGCCCCCAGGAACTGATTTGTGCTTTGAAACAACATAAAATACAAGAACCTAATAATCGCCAAGTTCTAATATAGATTTGTTACATAAAACAACAGCAACACAAAGAAGCAGGGCACGTACTTGGACTGGTTTACATCAATGAGAGAACCGATTTTTGACGTGGTGAAAGAGATGTGCTCGTCACCGATTACTATTTCGAGCTCCTGAAAAATGAAACATAGGAACTCAAAACTACGGCTTTGTGGCATTAGTTACAGAAATACCTATGTACCAAGATGATGGCTTTTCCATTTTTATTACAAAGGTATCGAATGCAGCAGCTCTGGGACTCATATTAACTCTCACAACCAAACTGTCACTGAGGCACCACTCAGGTTTGACAGTGGAAACCATACTGACTCGCAGAGAAAGTTCATCTGTGCTTCTAAGGAGGTCACAGAGAACAATTAAAAGCTAGAAGGCACCGAGCACCAACCTGCCGGCCCACTCTGTCGGGAGGAGGCCACAGCGCATCATCTTCTTTCGTGATTTCGCTGTCGTCGATGATCCTCTTGAGCTCCTCCATCACGCTCTTGTGCACGTAAGCCTGCGAACACCGCGGCGGGCTGAGGCGGCCCGCACCAACCCCGCCCCGGCGC